TGTGTGCAACTCAAAGAAAATGGAAGAGTGGGGTACAGAGCAAAGGGAGACAGTCTTCCCTTTCCAGAAGGGAGCTCCAATAGAGGTACAGCTTGGGATACACTCTCCGTATGTACTGCACTCTGAGCTATCTGTACAGGGGGTGGCTGGCTTCCCCTGCTTGCTCAGTGCCACCATCCAGATCTCTGAGCAGTGGCAAAGGGTGGGAATCAAATGTGCAAGCTCTGTGTAGCTCCAAGAGATGTTACTGTTGAACTAAGCAAGGCATAGGCGTCACTTGGAAGACTAGAACGCTCCTGCTGCTGAAGAGCAAGCTGTGCTGCTGAGCGTGTTCACTCTGAAGAATGGGGAAGGCTTGAGGGTATCCTGACATAAGTTTTCTCTGACTTTTGCATTTGTTTTGCAGATCACTTTCAGCATCAACCCAAGCGATGTGACCGTCCACCTGCCAGGCCACCAGTTCTCATTCCCCAATCGGCTTGGTCTTTCTGTCTTTGACTACTTTGATACGCATGGAGACTTCACGCTCCGGTCTGTCAGCTGGGAGTAACTCCTCACATCTGTCTCAAAATTTAAGAAAGTAATCAATAAATGTGTTTTCTTCTACTTGGTCTCAAGGATTAACTTTTCTTATATCATAAACCTACAGGGTTGGACAACTGGGGAACCTGGGATGGCAATAACTTACTGTGTAGGAATGTCAGATGTGGGTGGGAGTGATCATTGGTCCTCAAAGTCATGGTGGGAAAGGGGAAGCTAGGTTGTGCCAAGAGCATAGGAAGTAAGAAAGTGAAAAGCCCAGGAAGAGTCTGAGTGGGAAACAGTGTTAGGGCCAGATACTGCTGTGGGTGAAAAAAGTGGAAGGGTACCTTTGGCAAAGCCACTGACTCTTTCAGTCTGATGCTATGTAAAGCTGTAAGCAGCACTGAGTAGTGCTGCTGGGAAGGCTGTGCCTTGATAGAAGAACGCAATCTTTAGGACCTTACTTCTGGGCTGGGCCACAAGCAAGGTGAAGGACAAACACTTTGATGTCCTACAAAGGTACCCTGCAGGCCTGGCCAGGCTGTTTCTTTCCATTAGGCAGCTGCAGAGCAGCTGGTGCACAGGAGCTTGTTCCTAAGGCAGCAGCACCTCCCATTCTTTTTCCATAATTCATGAGGATTTGCCAGCTGCTGTGTCTCAGGGACTCATGCAGAATAAGATTCATCTGCTAGGAAACGTGGGCTGGGGAAGAGAAGCTAGGCTCAAGATGGACTTTTGGGATGGGAGGCAGGAATACTTGGGGTGTACAAGCAGGTTGAGGCTCTTAAACCAGATCTCTTGAAGCCTCCTGTTGTTCAAAACCAGTCTGCTCTGTACAATTGCAGCCTGCTCTTTAAGGCTATGTCTGTGATAGTAAAAACAGCATCTAGTATTGCCACCCTTCTCTTGAGTCTCTGTTCTCTCAGCTCTGCTGCTGGATAAAGCTGTCTTGTCTGGGAATAAGAAAGTTTAGCTGTATGGAATTGAGCTGTGCTGGGTAAGATGGACTCAAGATGTAAGACCTGGCTCAGTTTATGTCACTGAAGTTGTCACAACCTGGGGTATATTCAGCAGGACAGAGGGCCAGGGATGTCCTTGCCCACAGCAGGGACACAGTGCTGGTGATAGGCCAGTTAATGAGCTCTTATGAAGGGCAACCTCACACATAGCACAATGTCTTCAAATTGCACTTGGGATTCATTTTTCAGAAAGATTCCTCAAAAATATTGGTGAGAGTGAGGGGAAGGAAATTGAATGAAATTTTCACCACAGGCTGGGGATGAATCTTATTCAGGTCTCCTGCTAGCGTGGTTGCTTCTTCATGTGACTCACAGCTCCCATGATATTTGTGAGTCACTGTTGTCTGGGCTCTGTTACAGCTCTGTCCGTTGCCTGAGAGGCGGTGAGGGTGGTTGAGCTCCTTGAAGATATAATTAAGGCATATAGATGCTGACTGCACCCTTTCACCCACTCTGGCCTTGCATAGGGTGAGGGCTGGAGGACTCCTCACACATGCCAGAACTGGGATCCCTGGGAAGAGCATCCCCAAGCAGTCTTGCAAAAGGCACGAAGGAGAACACGCCAGGTTGATGACAAGGATGGAACACACCACAAGACAGCACATAAGACAGCACTTTTATTTCATTACTCAACCCTCACAAAAACCTGGGTGATATCCCTCACTGAGGGCACTGCTTGTCACCCAGGGCTCCCCCTGCTATTCCCCACGAGCCCCAATATTTACACAAAAGCCATGAAGGTGCTATGGCCTCCTTGTGTGTTTGGGATGCCGGCGGTAGCTACTGGCTAGCAGGGTGTAGAGGAAGGGATTGATACAGCTGTTGCCATAGGCTAAGCAAGTGACACCAAAGTTGAGGTAGGCCTGGGCAGTAGGGCCCATGCCTATGCCCTCATGCTGGTACAGCCCGGCCAGTTGCCAGCCCCAGAAGGGGAGGAAGCAGGCCCAGTAAGCCACCACAATGGCAGAGATCCTGGAGGAGAGACGCTGGGAGGGAGCCCGGCCGGCCGCTGACAGTCCCGGGTGCCAGGTGGAAGAGCGGTACACCCGGACCAGGAGGGTGTAGACAATGATCAGCACCACACCGGGCACCAGGATGCTGGTGGCAAAGAGCACCGTCAAGTAGAGGCGGAAGGCTGCTGGCGTCCACGTGGGGATGCAGATGCGCTTGTTGGGACCATCGCCCTCCCGCAATTGGGTCATTGCCATCATGGGGGCTGTAAGCAGGAAGGCAAGGAGCCAGAGGATGGCACTGGCTGGCTTGCGGTAAGCGCTGCCAGCCCTCCTGGACCGCAGAGGCCTGGTTACTGCCCAGTATCTCTCCAGGCTCATGGCGGTCAGGAGGAAAACGCTGGCATGCATGGTGAGGAGGTCCAAGCTGAACAAAAGCTTGCAGCCCACATCTCCAAAGAACCAGTCATGGGTGAAGTAGGTGCAGACCACAAAGGGGATGGTGGAGAGGTACAGGAGGTCAGCCAGGGCGAGGTTGATCACATAGACCCCCAAGGAGCCTGCCGAGCGGCCTGCCACTTTGCCAGAGGCCACCAGCACCGTGTAGATGTTCCCCACCATCCCAATGAGGCACATGAGCAGCAGCACTGTGCCCAGAGGCCCTGTCACTGGGCTGTCCCCTCCTAGAACACTGCTGATGTCATCCTCACCGCTGCTTTCCTCTAAGAAGCTGCCACCCTCAAGGTCCTCTCCAGGCGTTACATTGATGAGGGAAGAGTTGCAAGACATCTTTGGGGATGGAGTGAAAGAGCAATCAGGCTGCTGGAGACCCTCTCCTTCCTCCTGCTTTTCCTGCTTGTTGTAGGGGGCACAGCTACTTCTAACAAAAGCAGCCAAGGAGGGGATGAATGGCACAAACTCAGCAAACCTAAATCTCCAGAGAAGTCTATTCCTCACCTCCAGCCATCCAGTCTATTTTGCCAATCTCGTTCACCACAAGTGCCGTCTGCTGGTTTTCCTCAGGCTGAAAAAGCAGCACCGTTTCTCCTTCAAGACTGATAGGTGCAAAGAAATGTCTGCCAGACAAGAAGAAATGTCTGTCTTCTTCACCAGCTCCTCACTTGTTGCTCCTCCAGTATTCGCTGGGCAGAAAATCAGCAGACTCTGGACAAGTGCATCCCTCCTTCTCTCCAGTCTCTGTGTTCTCTCAGCTCTGCTGCTGGGTAAGTGTCCCCCCAGCCCAGCCCTGGAGAGCTGCCTTGCCCACTGCACAGGAATGTGTCTGACTCAGCTTCACACACAGGTGTGAATGTGGTCCCAATTTGTACTGAGCTGCTAGTCACCAGCCAAGGAGACAAGGGGAGCTCCTATTTTAGAAGATACATTCCTTCTTCCCTACTGCCTTCTTCCTTCTCTCCTCCTTTTTTTTTTTCAACTCTCTTTCTTTTCCCCATTCCCTCTTGCTCAGTCTTCCTCCTTTGAAGGAAGATTTAATGAAGGATAAGACTACTGAGTCTGGCAAGAGGGGAAAAACAATTGAGGCTCTAAGAGAGAAACAAGGATCAGCCCTGAAAACTGAAAAAACTGATGCTGCCACCTGACCCTTAGCTCAGCTAAGGTAAGAGGGCCTGCCCCGCACTCAAGGCCAAAGATCTCCTGAGGAGCAGTCAATGCATTTAGTACCTAGTCTTGCAATCAAAGACTCCCACAGACCACCAAAGATCTCCCATTCTTTTAGCCTGGCACTCTCCCACCCTTGTCATTAGTAACCATCGAGCTCCTAAAGATCAAGGGGCTATTTATTTCAGTTCCACTCCTTCCTTCCTCTCTCCAATAGCCACCCTCCTCCTCCTCTAGGATCTCCTTCGCCTGCCTCGCAAGAGCAGGAAGCAAAAGTGTGTAGGGCAGCACTGCCTTCTACTGGAGTATCACAGTATGACATTCGTGCTGCAAGGCCCTTTGTGCCAACCACTGCCCTGCTCTCTTTTTCCCACATCTGAGCTTCGTTTGTCTTAGAGAGCAGACATAAGACTTCCCTTATACACTACTGCATAAATGTATATTACATATACACATATAACGTACAGGTGAGAAAGCAAGTGACAGGACTTTGACACCCAGAGAATAGGGCAGTAGATACTCATATATTCCAACTTCAGACATCAACCCCTAGGCTGTATTAGACTCAACAGTGTGTCAGAAGCATATAGAAGACATGCTGTCTACTGCTCCCTGCAGGAGCCAGCCTCTCTCTATGGGTTTAACTACAGAGACTCAAATCTGACAGCTGAACTTCAACAACATGAATGTCCCTCACAGTACCTTCTCTAGGGCAGTATTTCATCTCCCACCACTTTTTTCTTGTGGGTACACACACACTGTCCATTTACATATACATACATAACTGTTGTTTCTGAGCTCAGGAGCAGTCAGAAGATGATCTCCATACAAACATGGTCTGAAGCTCTCAAGCCCATATAGATGGGAAGAAACACATCTCACATGACTGTTAGATTAAATCTTTTACGTGACCTTTTTCAAATGTAGCTCTAGCTGATTAAATAACCAGATGTTTTACATCTCTGTCACCAGCAGAGAAGCCACTTCTTGTAATGAAAGTCTCTCCTAGTCCAGCAGCCTCTACAGCCAACTGCATTATCTCCAGTAAGGCAGCTGTTTTCTTGTACAAGGTTAAACCTTGTGCATTCTTGCATAAGGCTGCCTGCAGTTTTCTGCAAATGTGATGCTAAGTCCCATGTCCATCACAGCAAGTGCTAAGTTTTTGAGGCCCTATCAACAGGCAAGGCCTGTCAACATCCAGTCAGATCACCGCAATTTACCACTGACAGTTTGCACTGAGGCTTCAGTCTCACAAAGTCTTGGACTTGAAGCAGCTTAAAAAGAAGATTGTTCTTGGAGAGAAAAAAAAAAAAAAAAAAAGTGCTTCAAAGAGTAGGCTGCAATAGCACTGTGTTTCTCTGACATCAATCTTCTCTCCTCTTCTGATAGCCCACCCAACAGGACCAGGTAGAGTTGAGTTACAGCAAGGTTCCTGTCCGGCTTCCTATGATTTAAACTTGAAGTAGGCTTCAACTGTAGAGAAGAAAAAAGGCAGTGCATTAGGGCAATACTCTGTGGCAGGGCAGCAAGAGGAGAAGGAAACACCATCCAAGCACTTACTGGCATATTCCTGTGGTGTCATGGCCTGGTTGATGATGCTTGTGAAAGCTGTGATCCAGTCCAGCTGGTCAGCCTCTGTCTCGCAGGTGAAGAGGTATTCTCGGTCAGGCGTGACAATGGTGATGCCATAGGGCCAAGAGAAGTTGCCTTGTGTCCCTGAAGGCAATCCCTTCTGGACGCTATAGCCATTCTCTCTGCTGCCCACAAATACCTCACCCTTAGCAAATGCATCCTGCACATCCAGAGGGAAAGAGAGGGATTAACTGTACTCAAGAAGAACCAACTAATAATAGCAGAGCTCCTGCGGGCAGCAGGAGAATGGGTAAGGATCAAAGAGATAGCAGCAAGAAGACTTGAAGGTGGTCAGGGGATTCAGAACCGGGAGGCTACGCCCAAAGACAGTGACTGAAAGGAAAACTTAGGAGAACAGACCTCGAGAGGTCTGAGAGAGGGAAAGCTGCATCTGCCTCTCCATCAACACCTTCCATGGCATCACCCTTGACACCACGACCCTTGCACCACAACCTTCCCGGTTCCCATTGTTTGCAGGCAGTAAGCAAACAAAGAAAGTGCAGGATGAACAAAGTGGGATGGAAAGGGGAAGACCTAGAGTCCATTCAGAGCCACTGGGAAACCCACAAGCCTCCCTTACAACAGAGCAAAGCAAAGAAGCAAGACTCTGTTTGCACTCTGACCCTGCCCTCAGCACTGTTGCCTACAGTTGTCAGAGGTCAGATCCCGCCCTCACCAAAGGGTCCTTGAAGTACATGAGCCTGCGGTGATCCAGTGTGAACCAACGCTTCTTAAAAGCCTCTCTCTGCTGTAAAGGGAAGAGGTGACATACGTAAGATGACAGCGCCCTCTGCCGTGAGCAGTGCGAAGGGATGCCCAAAATTCAGCACAACTGCTTGAACCAAGCCCCTGCCTTAACAGCAGCCTTCTTTCTCCCTCTAAGCTGAAAGTGAGGAACTGAAAGCAATTTTTCAGTCCCACTGTAGCGTCAAAAGAATAGAGGGTGGGGATGGGGAAACTGGGAGAAAAACAATGGAGTGAGGAAAATCAATGGCTCTCTGGGAGGTCCCTGCTAGATTTCTTCACCCCCAAGCAGCTCACCTTGGGACCTGTCTTCTCCATGTATCCTTCCTTCAAGAAGTTTCTTGTCAGCCGGCTTTTAATCTGACGAAAAGAGTAACATTCACTTAGCCATGTTGCTTTGCTGTTCACTTCCAACACCATGGCCTTCCTTCTGTTTGCCCAAATTCAGCTCCCTTTTAAATTCATGTTTGTAGAACTGCCTTAGCTAGGAGTCACTTTGGTCTCCAGAGTGCCCAGAAATAGGAGAAATGAGCTGCTCTCTGTCATCCCAGGCTCCTGTATGCACACTTTTTCACTTCTCTATCTAAATACTACAATTTCCACTTGTGTGCCTGGGGATCTAATAACAACTAATGGGCTCTTTTATCAGAGCAACCGAACATCAGCAGGAGACTCAGCACTGCACTCTAGTGCTGCCTTACCTCATTATCGCTGGCTATGGGAAATGCAACCTTCAGATAATGGAACTGCACGGACCGAATGGCATTGAACCAGTCCACCACCTCCTGAAAATAAAACAGGAGAGAACAGAAAGCTTAGGGACAGCCACAGTGAGACACTCAAACTCATCCAGCTGCACCCCACGTTATGTCAGCTGCAAAAACAGCCAGCTTTCCCTTCTCCAGGCCTCACCCTCACACACACATACAGACAGCACAGGCAGTACATCTGCACACCTTCTGCAGCAGCTCCTCCCACAGAAACCCACTCAGCCAGTGCTCTTGCTCTGCTCCCTGCAGCAAAACTCTCACAGACACACAGAGAATCAGAATTCTCAACCTGTTTACCTACAGCAATTCCCACACATGCACACACCTTCTATCCCAACTCATTCCTCATGCTACTCGGTATCAGTTAATTCTCCAATCAGCCTCAATGTCTTTGCAGTGTGATGCTAAACAATATACCTTTCCACTTTTATGGTAGACAAATATATTCCGAGTCTTGTTGTCTTTGAGATAGGTGATCTGCAAGCCATTGGGGTTCCCAATCTTCTCTGGTTGGAATGTAGCATTGATGACGTCTATTTTGACATTGATTTTGGGTTCTTTGGCCTGAGAACAGAATAGCATTGGTCATGCATGAGCAATTCTAGTAGGAAAGTGATCTAAGTGACTGACTTAGGAGGATAAAGCAGAGTTAGAAGGTCTTAAAAATGTACAAACTGCCCCTTCCCATCAAAACAGTTGTACACATTCTCTTTCCTCTGTGGCATGCCCAAACAATGGCTCAGCCCTTCCAAAATAAATTTGGGACAACCAGTGAGATGCTGAAAGCGCATCTGACTTTACAGCTGACCTGGTCTAAAGGCTAACTGGCCCCAAAAGGAAAGACTTTACACCTAGCCCTCCCTATCCTAAGCCATTCCCTCACTTGTGGCAGTATACTAGCATTTGTCCCATTTTTTCAGGGAGACAAACTAGCAGAAAAGCCCTACTTAAAGTGTTTTTGGCAACTTAGTTCACAGTAAGGTGAGGTTGGTTCCAAGGACAGTGCAGGGTTGTACAGCCAGGGAAATGGACTAGGATGAAGTGAAAGATCAACCTTCCCATCAGCAGTGATGTTGTAGGACTGTATCTCAGTCCTGCACTCGGAGATTAACAAGTGAGACAAGAAAAGAGGAGTCTCATGGAAGTGCTATTGCTTCCCTGCCATGAGCAAAGAAACTGTTGAAGAGGTAAGGATGTGGTGAAGCACAAAGTGAAGATGCAGGGGAAATGTCAGTAGTTGGAAGGGAATCCCTCTTCTGTGATGTGTTACCATCTCTGGCTGAGCGAGTAAGGAAATCTCACAGAGATAGAAGAGTCTCCATAACCCCACAGCCCTGAGTTGATCACCATACTCACATCCTGCTTGGTGAAATACTTCAGACATCCCTCTCTCTCTGACAACAGGAACTTGCGGGGTTGGAACTGCCCACTGTCTCGACCTCGCTTCCAGAGGATGCCTTCCTTCACCCCTAGGAGTAGAAAGGTCAGTTTGAAGACTATCCTCCCAAGAGGAATCCACCAGCAAAGCAAATGGTTTTGAGCAACACCAGCTGGTAATACCGTGCTTGGAAACAACCTACAGCAGTGCCAAACTACACTTCCTACAACTTAAACACCTCCAAGCCCATGCTCTGTACCTATCAGGCAGGTACTCGGGAATACTTGTGGGATTTGCAGCTTTGATGAGCTTTCTCTTCTTGGTACTCAAAAGCTTCCAGAAAAGGCAACAGGCAGCAATTCTGAAGTTATGCCCTGCTCTTACCATCTGTGTACAGTAGCTGTTTTCCAAGCTCAGTGAACTCTTTCCGTTCGTATTTGGCCCGTATCCACTGTTCTCTCAGCACCCTACAAGGAGAGGTGACAGCTTAGAAACAAACTACGGCAATACAGAACTGCCATCCCCCTTTTCATTTGTATGCAGCAACTTACTGGCAGTCATTGTAGGTTGGCTGGTAATAGTAAATAGGGATGTGAGCTTCATACATGGCCTTAGTCACAGCATTCCCATGCTTGGCCAGAAACTGCAGTTAGAAAGAGAGTTAGTGCCTTCTCTTTGATGTAGACTTATGTTGTGTCTAGATGGAGCTGGCAACTGAGAAATCAGTAACCATGAGCAATAAAGACCCTAAACATTGGCAAGATAAGATGCAAGAGATCTGTGCCAGCCATAAAGTAATAGGGCACGAAGAGGCACTCAAGGCAAGCACATCCTCCCAGCAATTTAAGAGGAATTATCCCCAGTTGCGCACACGTAGCAAAGTTACATTGATCTCCAACTTTGTGAGGCCAAAGGTCAAAAGAAGAGTTGGTGTACATCCTAGACTCAACCCCAACATACCAGTGGGACAAAGTTCTCACCTGCACCTGAGCATCATCCCAGTGGTCCATCTTCAGGGATTTGACTTTGCTGATGCTAGGGATGTTCCGGTGAATTCCTGAGCAGCTAAGGCATATAAAGACACCCAAGGTAGAGGATGCCCAGTCAGGATCTGAGGGCATAAAAAAGGGGCGAAGGTATGACCAGAAGTGGTAAATTCCTTGGGGGGATATGCCTCAAGTGAGAATGCATTACTGAGAAATAGAGATCTTGGTAACCATGGTTTCAGCTGAGCTGACTAATTAACCAAGCATACCGAAGGCAGTCTAGAAAAAGCATCATACTGCTGCATTCCTCCTGCTTCAATTGCTTAATCTGAATCTCAATTAACTTGAACCTTGGAAAACTCCAAAGCGCTCTGTAAATTCCCTTTGGGTAAAGAATCATCTGAGACTCCAGGAGCTGTTTCGTGCAACACAGCAAACCCACAATACTATTTAGCTCAGGAAGTGAAAAGCAACTGTAAAATCAGAATTCTCAGGGGAAAATTTAAGAAGGTAAAGTGGTATTAATTAGACAAATTAATTTGTCTTGGATGGTACAACCCACATGTACCTTTTGGAAGAAATGCAACAGTCATTTTTAGCAGTACTGGTAGACTTCAAACCGGTACCCTTTGTAGAGGATAAGCTCTTAAGTACAAGAAACCTCTCAGGTTGTCCATGGCAAGTTGTCAGTTCAGAGCTGAGTCACAGACAAGACAATGCCCTCCTGAATCATGCCTTTTTTCTGGAGCAGTTAGGTTTCCACTGGGAACTTTCTTCTCAGGTCCTGACTGGGCATGATTTTGATTTGTGTCTGAGATCCAACACGACTGCAATCCACAGTGCTGCAGCTTTGGCGCTACCTCGTCCCTGTCCTTTCCACCAGCACTGTGGCAGCATCTCCTTTGTCTTCCCTTACTCCCCCACCTCTGGGACCCCCTGCAGCCTGGACAAATGGAATTAACTCACACAACACTGCTGGGCTTTGCACAGGTTCCAACAACCATCCCCTAACATCACTCCTTTCCATTCTCATATGCCTCAAGGCACTGAGCTGGCCACAACGGCTACTAGAGACCAAACCCAGTCCTTTTCTTCTGACCCATCCTCAGAAGATCCAGCCCTCAGGGACTCACCCGGCTTCCCGCAGTCTGCACACAATGAGTTTTCTGCTCTTCTCCACACCTCCCTCAGGGCCTTCATGCTCTTATCACCTCCAGCCATGGTGTCAAATTGTCACCCTCTTGGGCAGTGCAGGTGCCCGTGTCTTCTGCACCTGCGGTGCACCCTGAGGGAGAAGGAGCCACCAGCAGGCCTTGCAGGAACAAGATGGGAGGGCAGGAGAAGCCCTGAGATTAATGGAATGAATATGCAGGCCTAATGGTGCACCTGAGCCGGCAGAGAACAGGCTGGGGCAAAGAGGCCGAAGTGCACCCAGGCTGGGAGAAAAGAGGAGGAGGAGGCAGCCGAACCCATGGGCGTGGAGGGAAGTGCAGTAATTAACCACAGAACTGGTTTTTCCGCATTTCTGCTGGGGAGAGGACTGGCCAGGAAAAGAACCCCAGTAGCCAGAGAGCTGATAAAGACAAGGTGACCTGGGACGAGGCGGCAGTGCTTGCCACGCTCTGTGGGCTGACTCTGCCAACGCTTCCCTTCACAACACTTGCGGAGCCTCCACTGAAGTCAGCTGGCCGCCACGCAAGAGTCACACTCATTAAAGCGAGGACGGGAGGTCACGAGGGGTTCAAGAGTTCAGCTAAAGCCAACCCAGTCAGCCAGCAGCGAGACCACTCCCCACCACAACTGCTCCCGCGTCTCGGAGACAGACTCAGAGCTGAGATCTACCCTCACACACACCTGCCCGGGCTAAGTAGCACAACCCAGACACCACCGCACAACGACACACTACTTAGAAATAATGTTTTTATTAAAGACGCGCCTAGGCACAAAATGGCGGCCGAGGGACGGCCTTCACAGCGCCACACCTCCCACAGGGCAGTGCTGTGCGGAGCCGGAAGTGGACAGACCGGAAGAGGCGGGGACTCCTTGGACCGGAAGAGGGGTCTGACCGGAAGTGGGGTGGCGGCAGCGTGGGCTAGCCATGGGTCGGAAGAAGAAGAAGGGGTCTGGAAGTGCGGCATCGCGGCTGGTGGTGACTTTTGATGAGGAGAGGCGGAGGTGAGGTTACGAGGGCTTCCAGGTGGCAAAGTGAGCGGGGAACGGGGTCGCTGGAAGCTGAAGGTTTGCTCTGTTCCCGGTGTTTAGGGAGTACCTGACTGGCTTCCATAAACGGAAGGTGGAGAGGAGGAAGGTGGCCCTGGAGGAGATCAAGAGGAAGCTGAAGGAAGAGCAGAGGAAGATGAAGGAGGAGGTATAGCTCCTCCTGATGACAAAGGACCTTTTGCCATGTCAGGGTTGTGGGGCAGGCACGTAGCAACTGTTTCCTGGGGTCCTCGTACTTCCCTTTCCTCACTTAGGGGGAGAATGGGACCTCGTGGGTGGAGGGGTTGGGGTGGAATGGACACTTATAACAGCAAGGTTGCTGTAGTGACCTGTTTGTCTCTCCCAGAGGCACAAGGAGTACCTGAAGATGCTGCGTGAAAGGGAGGAAGCTCTTGGTATGTATGTCCTCTGTGCCTGTAGGGTTTGGGCTCCTTTGCAGCAGATTGGGTATCAGAGGAGTTAACTGCCTGTGAGAGGCACCAAACTGAACAGCCTCTGTAGCTGGGCAGGCATAGTTGTAACAGTGGTCCTACCCCAAAGGGATGTTGCATCATTCTTCTCGTGTCCCCCTGAGAAGCTGGGCAAGTGCTCGTGCAATGGGCTGAATGGGGGCCCCCTGTCCCTAGTGGGAAACAAAACTGGGCAGGTTGGACAGGAAGGAGCATGCAGGAGGGTATCTCCAAGGCATTGAGATCTTGGCTGGGACAGGTAGCTTGCCCTTCATGCCTTAACCCTGCATGTGAAGACTGGACCTCCTGAACCCCCACATGATAGTGCAGGAAACATAAAGTCATTAAGGTTGGAAGAGATCTGTAAGATCATCTAGTCCAACTGTCCACCTACCACCAGTATAGCCTACTAAACCATGTTCCTAAGTAATACATCTGCCCTTTCCTTATATACCTGCTGGAACAGTGACACCTCTCTGAGCAGTCTGTTCCAATGCATCCCCACTCATTGCTAAGAAATTTTCCGTAATATCCAACCTCCAACCTGAACCTCCTGTGGTGCAACTTGAAGCAACTGCCTATAATTGTCTATTGCTTTTATCTGGAGAAGAGGCCAACCCCTGCTTTGCCACAGCCTTCTTTCAGATAGTTGTAGAAAGCAATAAGGTCTCCTCTGAGCTCCTCTTCTCCAGACTGAACAACCTCAGTTCCCTCAGCCGCTCCCTGTCACACTTGTGCTCCAGACTCCTCACAGCGTCACTTCGTTCTCTAGCCATGCTCCAGAGCATCAATGTATTTCTAGTAGTGAAAGGCATAAAACTGAGCACAGCACTTGAGGTGTGGCCTCACCAGAACTGAATACAGTGGCAGATGGTTACCTCCCTGTTCCTGCTGACTGTGCTATTTCTGATACAAGCCAAGATGCCATTGGTGTTGACCAGCTGAACACACTGCTGGCTCATATTCAGCTGGGCATTAACCAACACCTCCAGATCCTTTTCCTCCATGCAGTTTTCCAGCCACTCTGGCCCAGGCATCTAGTGTTGCGTGGTGCTGTTGTGAGTGTACTTTGTGAAAAGCTGATATTTTTGTCTTTCTAGATGAGTTTGATGAACTGGAGCACTTGGTGACATCGCGGACAGAGTCAGTGAACATTGACCACCCAAACCATATTGTAACAGTCACAACCATCAGTGACCTGGACCTCTCAGGTGCACGCCAGCTGGGACTGACCACCTCTGAGGTACCACCTCTTGCTGACTGTCTGATTGCATCAACTATAAATGTTCTGGAGGCTAGTTAGATTGGCACTCCATGGATGTGCCAGAAAGCTTGCAGCTGGCTAGGAGCGAAGATGAAGGGGGAAACTGAATTTTCACGTTTCTCCACAACTTACGTTGTGCCACTGCAGAGGAAGAAATGTCATCCTTGAGCAGCTTTCTTCTAAGCTGCCTTGGGATTGTTTGCTCTTTAACCTCATGTTAGTAGAAGGTGCCACAGATCTGGACAGGGAGAACACAATATTGTAAAACCAGGTATAACGCTAGTAATGAGAATTTGGGCTTCACTGCATGGACTGTCCTCCGTGATTTTCTGTGACCTGTCCATGGACAGTTACTGCTAGGCTGAGGAGGGATTCTGCTCTCCATGAACCTATGCTTGGACCACAAATAAATCTTATGGTTGTGGTTGCTTCTGTTCTCAAAACAGATTTTAACTGAGTTCTCATGTTTGTTTCATAAAGGCTCTATGGTACTGACTGGTGCAATCCTTCTGATCTTTATGAGTTGTGAGTGGATTTGAACACCTTGGGAAAGTGCTGTATTGATTAGATAACCTTTTACACTTTTAAGGACATCTTCTAATCTGAAAATCAGGTTATGGAGACTTTAATAGTAATTTAAGGAAAAAGCTGAAACTTCCGATTCACAGATGTGGCCAGTAAGATTGTGTTGAAGTTGATTGATTAATGTAGGACTTCCTGCTGCTTGTCCCTTTCTGGAGGGCTGCAATAGCAAAACCTTGAGATTTGAACAAGGCTTGTGTAAAATTTAAAGTGTTGATCTGTTACTGTGTTTTGCAAATAGGAATGAAGCCAAGAAGGTAGCAAAAACACCAGAATTGTGAGACTGCTTGTTTTAATGTGTTCATAAAGATGTGTTTGTTTCTTCTTTTAAGGGAAAAAGTGAAGAAGAAGAGAAGGGGGAAGAGGTGGTGAACAAGCCTGCAAGAACAATGCCCAAGAAGTCCAGAAACCCTTTCCTATCTGAAAAGTACGTATAAATTCATTCAGCTGCTTGCTGCTGGGCAGTGTGAGCTCATCAGGAAGATGTTTTGTTTCCAGATCAGTGGTGTGATTGCTGGGAGAGCATGCTGTGCTGCTTGGGTGCTGGTGGACAGGAGCCAGCAGGGGGCACTGGCAGTCTGGAAGCCTGCCTGGGTCGGTCTGTTTCTGTCACATTGATCTCTGGTAACAGCGGTGTGAGGTGGATGTGGTGTAGGTCAGGCTTTGCCTTGAACTGTTTGTCTAGTCCTTCTCCTGTCCTGTCAGTATGGTGCCCAGCACAGTGGAGTTCCCCTGGGACATTCAGTTACTTGTGTCCATTCCTGTTGGGCCACACAGGGCTGTCCTGCTGCTGTTCTAGTATCACCTTTCTGCAGTGCACTTTGGTGCCCAAACATTTCTCTCTTCCTATCCTCCCCAGGATCTCTTCTCTTACTGCCACGCTGCACATGCACAGCCGGAAAAAGAAGAAAGGAAAGCGACCCCAGCGTGGGCAAGGTCCACTTAAGAAAATCCAGAAACCCAGCATGAGGCGAACCACTAAGACTCAGCGACGGAGACTGACGGGCAGAATGGGCCGCGACCAAGATTAATGGGAGCCAGGTGCTCAGAGCTGCAGCTGGGACAGTTTTCAGCAGCTGGGCTGCTGTTCCTTGCGACCCCTTTGTAACGATCAAGGACCTTGTTTACTTGGCTCTCTGAGCCCAGTTCAGCCTTATTCACCTGCTGTGTGTTGGCCACAGGCACTGGACACTGCATTTATTTTGCAGTGGTCTCCAATGAAGTGCCACAGAATCTCTGAAATCTTCTGTTGGAGGTCAGATTCTCTGTATGGCATAACCCTCGACTGGCTTTATCAAAGGAGAAATTCTAAAGCTGAATGCAACGGACGCACTGTCAGGGGTGTGAGACTGGGAAGAGCTCCGCTTCCACTTGTGAACCAATGCATTGCTATTTCTGCAGTGCAGTAAATTCTTTTTCCAGGATGATATGGTGTCATCTTGTCTCATGTTTCTTCATCTGTGCCACAGCCGAATGCAGGGATGCTTTTTTTCCCTCCTTCCTTCCTTCCAGTTTGGTGGCCCTGCCTGTGGCAGAGGGTTGAAGATTCATGACCCTTGATGTCCCTTCCAACCCGGGCCATTCTGTGATTCTGTGATTTTTGGTATCTATACCAGATGAAATTTAGTAAGTTTATTCTGTGTAGTCATTTTGCTAAGAGAAATACATGTGGCTTAACTGAAGCATAACAGCTGGATGTTAATACCAGTACCAGCTGGAAACAGGGTTAATGATTCCTATTGCTAAAAAAAAAATCTTTAAAATCTACTGGTGCTCAGGAAAGGGAATAGCTAGGAGCTGTTTTTGTGGTAATACAGAACCCGCCAGAGCAGGAATGGCTCATTCCATTGTCTGCTGAATGTGCCGATGTTCATTCTGATAGCTCAGAGGAGTATGAAATCCCTTACTGCCCTTGCTGCATGTGTGTGGCCTTCTCTGGGATGGGAGTGGCAGAGGCTGTGCAT